GGTGCGTGGACTTTCTGCGTGCCCCTGCCCGTGTGACGTGGCGGGGCTGTCGCTGCGCTCAAGGCCGTGGAGAGGGGAGCGGCGTTCACTGCCGTGAGCCTCGCGGGAGGTAGGGGAGATGCTCCTGGCGCTCGTGGCAATGGCCTTGTGCTCGCCGAGCTGCTGTGGTGGGGCTTCATGAAGGCTTCCAGTGCTCCGCAGCTGATGGCTTGTTCAGCTCCTGACTTCAAAGATCTGACTTGATCTTAAAATTTTGGGCAAGCTGTGGCTGGTGATTGCTTTTGAGCTCCAGGGCGTCGTTAGTGACCTGAGGGTTTGGAGGAGCTGTGCAGCGGGGTGGGGGATGGCTGCCGCTGGGACGGAGGGAGGCTGTTAGCGGTGGAAAAGAGGAGTAACTGGGAACGCCCCGACACAACGTGGAGCTGAACGAAGATGGGGAGGATTCTGTGTGTGGAGGGGGTCAGGGCTGGACGGAGAGACTTGACGTTGCCGTGTGAGGATCCACAAAGACATCTGCCCGGCCAGAGGACCTCGGACCCAGGTGAGGAGGAACTGTTGCCTTCTGCGTCTGGGTGAGCCCCAGTTTTAGGAGCAAGTAGCTGGGCTGAGACACCTAGGGTAAAGAATCAAGGCTGTGAGCTTACTGCTCTGGGAGCCTGCACCAGCCTGGTGCATCTGGGGTGAGGTCTTCTCAGCATTAGGTGCTTCACCATCCAACAAGCAGCCTTCAAAACCAGTTGGAAACAGTGTGTGTTTTCCCCCCTCCTTGTATAGTGTTTGGAAAATACTTCAAGTAACGGGGTTGAACTACTCGAAAAAGCACCTGGGCACATGAGGAGCACCAGCTCTTTGCTAGACCTTGTGCTCCAGGTTCCTCCGCTGCTCTGAGCAGATGTTTTGGGGTTGTCCCCACGCGTAGTCCCACGCAAGCTGCCCGTGGGCTGTAAAAACCACTCTGTACAGCGCCGAGGCCGAGCTGCGGCGTGGTGAGGTTAGAGCCCGGCCTGCTGCCGAGCCTGCCCGTAACCAGGGGTGTTGGGACGGGCGTCCGTCCACAGAGCGTGTGA